CAATTATTCTACGTCTAGCTAGCTTAATGTTCAAATTGCAATAATCTATTTGACCCCGACCAATTACTTTGACCTACATGACTGACCTCACAGTCGTAACATGCTGCTTGAGAAATTATATTATTTGTTTTAAAATTGATCTATTGGGTACTTAAACCAACAAAAGTTTATCTCTGAGAGAGCTGGTTGGCTAGTTGGTTTAGATGCCACTCTAACTAATTCCAGCCTGATTGAGAATCCTACGTAAATTCTCTGACGTTCCTTCTTTGTATGGCAGTACTACAGAGGCTTTGAATTCTGCATTATTTTTGTCATTTTCAACAGTGACCTTATTTTTTCTATGGTTCTTCATACATTTCTGAATGAATTCTTATAATTATTTATCCACTAGTAATATTTTCTTTACTTGTTGAATTTCATTATTTAAATCTCCTGGCTTACTAGTTCTCTACCGATTCTGGATTGGATGCATTATAGTCTAAATATTTTGATGTGATTGTGTTGTCTGAGCTGGATAGTTAATTTGCGAAGCTTTCATCACCCTACTAGGTGACATCTTCAGAGAATGCTTCAATCTATTGAAGTGAGCTTTCAGATTATAAATCATCTCCCGCCGGTGACCTTGGACGTGATTGGTTGTTTTTGTGTGTTTTCACACCTTCTAGCCTACTTGTATTGGAACTGATTGTTTCTTTCACTTGAACTTTGACCACTTGTGTGTGAGGTTTCTCTCTTATCGGTTGATGAATTTTGTCAATCTCGATGTGTCCATTGATTGATGATTCCCTGGAATGTCAAGCTTCTAAAAATTTTCTAGCATTTTTGTTGTTTCCTCTGTCTAATATTTGAACATTTTCCCAATCGAACTGATGCTACTGGTTGTCTGTATGTAGTGATATGAGGGAGTGGATATCATGTCTTTTGACGGCTAGCTTATGTTCGTGGATACGAAGAAGAAGGGGACGTCCACTTTGGCCACTGTAGTGTTTTTCGCAGTTGATACAATCTATTTTGTAGATGATGTTGGTTTCATCTTCTTTCGCTGTTGAGTCGTTTGGTTGACATAGAACTGAGTAAATTGATTTTGTTGGTTTGTGTGCGACGTCAACTTCTAAAGGTTTGACGAGTCTTGTAGTGATTTCTGATATATCCTTTATATATGGCAGGGTGACTTTCTTTGTGCTTTCCTTGGGGGTTTTGGTTTGATAGGTTGGCTTGGGGATATGTCTTTTGATGAAATTTCGTGGATATGCATTCTTTTGATAGACGTCCATGAGATATCTCTCTTCAATTTTCTTTAAGGTGGGAGTGCTGTAATGAGTCCTGGCCCCCCTCAATAGTGTTTGTATGCGTATGGATACGATACGTGGACGACATATTTGTAATAATCAAAAGAAAAGAGTTAGATAAAACTCACAACTTAATAAACAACGTCTTCAACGACATCAAATTCACAAGGGAAGAGGAATCCAGGAACAAAATCCTATTTTTGGACGTCTTAGTCAAGAGAACAACCACAGGAGAATTAGAAACCCAAGTTTATAGAAAATCAACTCACACAGATCAAATACTGAATTACAACGGTAACAATCGAATAACACAGAAGGAATTGTATACAGACACTATTCAAGAGAGCCAGGACTCATTGCAGCACTCCCACCTAAAGGAAAGTTGAAGAGAGATATCTCATGGACGTCTTATAAATGCTAATCTCTGACTCACCATCTCATTTTTGTCTTATTCTACAGTCTAGAATGACCAGCTCACTCTGTTAGTTTTCTAACACAGAAGTGAATTGCATTTCGTGTACCACTGAATTAATATATGTGAAAAAATGAGGGATGCGTTCTGATTTCAACACAGAGCGGATGTGTCATTCACATATCGCCACATTTATCTCGAAGCTCAGTTCTGCGATCTAAGAGCTTTTCGTTCCCAACTGTCCATTTGTATAATTGACTTTAAAATAATAGAAATTCAGTGGAGAATAGTCAATTTACTTGCCATTAACACTTCATATACATTCATTTTGAAAATAATTCTCATGGGAAATATTCCAACACACACAAATACGGTCTTATCACTGTGTATTCTATTTGACAAAATGACCTAATTAGGCAACACATTTATGAGATGTTGTTCATTTTATCAAGAGAAACTAATAAGACCATTGAGAATACATCTAATGGAACATAATTTATTTCTTGTCATGACAATTAATTGAAGACATTGATAAAAAACAACAACAAAAATTTACCAATTATTACTGACAACAAACTGGTCGCTGCTCACAATTTCTGAAAGTCATAAAATTTTGTTGTCGTTGATGTTGTTGTTGGTTAAAATTCCTCACTTTTGAGTATTGGGAGGCCTGTCACAATTCCGATGAATAATGTGAACACATTAGAGATGACATTTTTATGTTTAGAAGATGCGTGTGTCTGTGTACAAAGCATTACTGTCATTTAGTAAATGACACTGAACATTCAACTGAATGGATGACATCATGACGTATACTACTAATTGGTTGAGATGAGTAGTTAGATACGATTCACATCAACGAGTAGTACTTACTAGCCGGTTAGCCACACTGAAGTAATCCAAATACTTGATGGCCTTTTCGGTCTTTTGATGCAGAGCTAATCATTAGTGCATCTGGTCTGATTCAGGTCACAAAAATGAATCAGTTAGCCATAAATTGGGTATTTCGAACTTATTCAGCTAACTGAGAAAGGTAGGCATACATTCACTTATCCGTACATACCCTCAAAGGCCTGACATTCAAAGTTCCACGTTCTTTTCCCAGTATCGTTGGTAGACATCTAGTCGAAACAGAACACAAAGTATCTAAACTGTTTCTATCATCAATAACAAGCATTTGCCATCAAGTAACTCCAGCCAAACCTTTATATACAGAAAGCAACACTGACTGACCTTATTCCACACTGGAAACACGTTTCTTTACTCATAACACAGTTACGTATTCTACTTTTCAATGTTCTTACATTATTATTATCGTTACTATGTTTTGTTTTTCTGACTCACTGATCCTAACTCATTTCTTATTAGTTGGAGGATTTCATAATGATCTGACATCAGTTAGAAAACCATTGGAAAACCTGAAAAGAGTACTGGACAGCGGTTTCCTCCATCTTAGTTTGGGACTCTTCATCAGCACACACCCACAACCAGGTTTCGAAACCAGTGCCTTTCGGTTATAAGGCTAGCGAGCTCCTTGACTATTCAGAAGCCACTGGGACCCAATCAAATTACCAGTTCATGAATTCAGACATAGCGCGACCACCAGCCAATGTCTTCTTCGATGAGTTACTGCCTCACCTTCAACCTGCAGCATCCTACTGGTCACGGCTTTCCTCTAGAACCTCAGGTTAACTTCCTGAATGGGGCCAGTCGCTAGTGAGCACCAGTGGCCCAATGATCTACGACCTCGCCAGCCTTGCAAACGGAGGGTCTTGGGTTCAAACTCCAGTGAGTGTGTTCTGATGAAGAGTGCTAAACAAGGATGAAACAGCTGACCAGTACTCTGTTCAGGTTTTTCAATACTTCTCTAACTGATGTTACCTCATGACGAAATCCTCCAAACAATCAAACGAATTCCCTATAAAACCAATACTTGGGGATTTCTAATAACTTCTAAATGCTTATTCGTATGGTACTGCGTGATCCTTTTCATGTCTGTCTGTTGTTGATCCATTAGTTTTTTTGGTGTTTTAAAGTCAACCAACAGAACTTCTCGAATATTCTTCCAAACTTGTGTTGAATAACAACTTTCTTTTAAATGCATTATTTGTAATTGATTATGTCATCATAGCTCACCGGTTGTTGTTACCCTAAACTAAGACCACCATGCCCAACATTTCCTTCAAAAGTATTTAAAAATTTGGTGTGCCTGTCGAACAGTTATTTGGACGCGTAATGGTAAAGGTACAAACCTTTGAAAAAATGTGCGGTTGATTTTCAAAGACAATTCATTCGTCTGACTCCTAATAGAAATTTGAAAAAAATTAACTTGAAACTTTAGACGATTTTTGAAAGAAGTTTTGATGTGCTATCATATGGTGTATGAATCAGGGAAGTGAGCTGTTAATGCTAGTCGGAATAACTGGATTGTTAGGTAACAAGTAAAGATTTGAGGATTTCATCATCAATTGACATCGGTTAGAGGAGCTTTGGAAAACCTGGGAGTCCTGGACAGCTGTCCCAGTGGCTTATTGTTCTACGAGCTCACTTTGTAACCAGAAAGTCCTGGGTTCGAACCTCAGTGGTTGCGAACTTCCAAAACGTCTTAAACTGCGACGAAACAGCAGTCCTTTAACAGATGTCATTTCATAACGAAATTCTGAAATCAAACAAAGCTCTGCAAACCAACACTTGGAGTAGCGATTTAATTATGAAATCTTTGACTGAGTGAATTGATTAACTTCACAAGCTAAGGGAAAGAAACAGAAATGGTGATATGAAGTTAACAGGAAAAGCATTTTAATAGGCATAATAAATTATGTAATGAGCTCAAAAGTAATTCTTAATAGCAACTAAAACATCGAATCTGATATCAAACTACATTTCAGAAGTCTCAAGGGACGAGGCGATATAGACCTAGTTGCTGATGGTTGCATCAAGACCTGAAGATCCTAGGTCTGATCTCCAGTAAGATTATGGGTACGTAGTGTTAAGGAGTTCCAAACTAGGGAAAAAATGCTGTCCATTTGTTTTCTGGTTTTCAACAGCTGTCGGGCTGATGTCATTCCATAATAAGACTGAATGTCATTCGAATCCCTACAAAGTAACGCACTTGGAAAGTGATGCTGGGTGTAATAAATGTGAAGCAGACAAAATTTAATTTGTAGGATCTTACTCTGACCACTGAGTTTTATGTTAATATGATAAATATTAACCTTTCGAACAGTTTTCACAAAAAACCCACAAAATTGTATTGACCTGTTTCACTTTAAAATTTTTATATTTTCCTTCTGTTCTAGAGGATGTGGTGGCGGCGGTCAGGATATTAATACAATCGGTCTATTACCTGATAAACTGAAAACAGAATTAGCGTTAAATGTAAATTTGGAGACATTGAAAAAGGTAAGTTTGAGCAGTAGTGCATGTTTGGAATGCTGGCATGTTTATTTCCTGGCAAAACAGACTGAGTCAGTGGTCCAATGGTAGAACACTCGTCGACCATGCACGTGGTCGTCAGTTCGATTCCTGGCCAGTGGAAGCACTCCTAAGCCTCACTCAGCCAGTAGTAAGTCTTGTAATTTAGCAAGGCTGGACCTGAGGCTAGGAATCCTACCTTGCGAAAAGAAATAACACGGCTGCTGAAACTGCAAACCGTTTGGTTTACACGGAACGCATAGCGGTATAACGAAAATAGACTGCAAAGATAAACAGAAGAAATGAAACTTTTGAACTTATTCAAGAAAAATTTTTTTATTTTAACTTTGGTTAGTGGACGAATAGAAAAATGGTTTTCTAGGGGGAATTTGTGACCAATAGGGTGCAGCAGGTCGAAAGTGAGGACAAATACTCGCCAAAGACATTGGCTAGCGGTTGCGCTGTGTCGTGAATCGGCAGAAGTTAGAATTCAAGGAACATTGGATCGGGTCTCAGTGGCTTAATGGTCTACGAGCTCGCCTTGTAACCAGAAGGTCCTGGGTTCGAACCCCCGTTGGCGCGTACTGCTGAAGAGTCCCAAACTAGGACGAAACAGCAGTCCAGTACTCCTAGGTTACCCAGTGTTTCTCTAACCAATGTCAGCTCATAATGAAATCCTGTAACCAACCAACCAAATCCCTATAAACCAATACTTGAAAACGGTTTTCAGTAATAATTTCTCAACTCTGATTAGACACTAATTAGTAAATAATGTGATGTGTCTGGTCCTATCTCTGGTGCAGACTGAATTCCACCAGTCAATTTAGCAATGTGTCCACCATTCTAGGTGTCTCTCCATTACGATATACTTTGAATTGTTGATATTAGATGGTTGGGTAAGGCGTGTTTGAATCTCAGAAGTAGAATGAGTTCCTTCACGGTTGAAGGTACACCTTGCTAACTGGTAAGTGCCAACTAGCACCAAACCTAGCCCCAAGGCTTCCTTCCTATTGCTTCCAACCATCTAATATCAATAATTTTCCACCTCGTTTACAAGTGTGTCTGCTTGTGTGTGATTAAACTGTAACGACAGAAGACAAGGTCCAGGCAACAGATTGTTTATTGAGAAAATCAGCAGAAATTTACAGATATTTTATGTATATTATTATTCGTTATTGTTAGCAGAGAGGCAACGTCTTCTGATTGATTGTTTTCCTGCTGAAGGTTATTCTGTCACCTCGAACCATCTGCATGGCTGGCAGCGAGCGTCCTACCTCTGTGCCACTGACGCAAGAACATCCCTTAGCTGGTAGTAAAGACTAGTACAGAGGAAAGGTCGTGCACGAGGCTAATAACTAAACTTCCTAAATAACAGTAAGTACTGCCATTAATAAAACTCCGCTGCTCAAGTTTGAAGCACTGTGAATTTCCCACTCGAAAAACGAAGGGATAAAAACACTGAAACTCATGACTGCACAAATGTTTATAAATTTTTGATGTCAAATAATAAGTTAGCAGGCATAACAGTTTTACTCTAAAGCAATTAATCTCTTGCTAGTCATCATCCGAAACCCAATATAATACTTACTCGTGTCTAAAGTTCTAGGAAGAAGTTATGATAATTGGGGTCCCCTAGGTTGAATATGAGGGTAAATACTTGCTGGTGACATTGCCCAGCAGTAGTGATATTTACTGGGAATCTGCAGTAGATAAAATTTATGTGCCCTGAGTTTTTTCTAGTATCTTAATGGTCGGTGTGTTTAAATGTTTAACCTGAAGGTTCCGAGGAGGTTTTGTTTCGGAGTCGTAAACTATAGTGACAGAGATGTTCAATAATTTCTGTTTCATCTGACTATCTAGCTAGGAAAAAAAAGCCTTTTGATTTGACACTAGTAACTAGTGTGATGCGTCTAGTCCTCTCTTTGGTGCAGACTGAATTCTATCAGTCAGGTTGTAATATGGCCAACATTCTAGGTAGCTCGCCATCACGGTGCACATTGATTTGATGATATTAGATGGTTGGAGGCAATCGGCAGGAAGCCTGGGACCTAGGTTTCGTGCTAGTCAGCACTCATCAGCAAGGAGTATCTGCAACTTTGAAGGAACTCATGTCCCCTCTGAGATTCGAACCCGCGTCACCCAGTGCCGCACCGTGATGGCAAGCTACCTAGAATGGTGGTCACATTACAACCTGACTGATAGAATTCAGTCTGCACCGAGGAGAGGACTGTTTTGTCGATTTTGTTTTTTCTATTGATAAACTGGACCAAAACGTTAGACCTCTGTTGATATGTCTGCTGGTGGTACAGACGTCTAGACGACCATTGAGGTCTAACATGACGTTATTTGGAGGATGGTGACTAACAGTGAAGTCAAGGCTTTGCATATTGTCCGACTTACAAGAGAGACCATTAATTTCGACCTAAATAAATAGTAATTTACATCCATTGCACGAGATGGAGATTCTCGTGGCCAAAGTAGTAGATTGGAGAATTCTTTAACGTTTGAAACGATAAGTGTGACATGGGAATTTCAGTGAGAACACCACCACTCAGTAGGCATTGCAGATATGTTCAGTTGACGAGTCTCAGACATGGCGAATTGCGCGTCGTAGATTCCACTACTAGTCAGCATCCACCAAATGCTAAGTTACTTATTCTGTTTGTCGATTCGGTTTAAATCGCGTTAACTACATTTTCTTGTCAAAAACTATATGTTAACGTGAATGGGCGGGTGATAGTCAGGAACAGTTCATGTGACTTCCTCCGAGTTTTTATTAACCAGTCAACAAATTTTCACTCATAACTAGCCATACGACCGGAATAATTTTGGTCCCCAAGGGAAATTATGGTGGAATTACACCTCGAACTGTATAAATTACAAATTGTGAATTATTTCCGAAAGTGAGAACTGAATATTTTTTGGGAAATAGCAGAAAAAATTATCATGGCTTAGGTTTATACCCTTCTTGTATTCAGGTGTTCGTTTTGCAGGCATCTGACTTTTGGCAGGTTTAATCGCTAGCTGACGTCAGTTGGAAAATCACTGGAAAACCACAGAGTACTGTGCAGACGTTTCGTCCGAGTTTATGGTTCTCCATTAGTATGCACCAACAGGGATCTCATTGAATGCATGGTCACCTTTTAACCGAATGGTTCTGGGTTCGAAACTCTACAGGTGTTTACTGATGAGCAGTTCCAAACTAGAGCGAAACAGCTGCCTAGTACTACATGGTTTTTGTTGTGGTTGGATTCTATGAGTTTATAGGTGGATAAGTTGTTCCTCTGCATTTTGATGCTAACTTCAATGTGATCTGAACTATGCGAACCCTACTTGGATGAAATATTGATTTCCCCTGGTGGTTTTCTCTACGACTGACAATTTTTATAGATTGCCTTATATTTTATATCACAATAAAGAACAAGTCGCACCAATAAAAGGTTATATATCAGATCAAAGGACAGAAAATTTTAAATACAGGTTAATACTACCATAAATCGGAATATGTCAGAGCAAGCAATCATGATAATGGTCACAAGGAGAGATACTCACATCTAACCCATTCAGAATGCCTGAGGCTCACTACCTACTGAAGTTAGCGATGAAGGCAATATCCAGCGGGACAACGATAGTTTCCATATATGTGTAAAACTTAGAGACTGTGGTAGTAGGTAATTCCATATTGATTTGATTATTAGATATAAAGACTGGAGGATTACATCATGAGTTGATAACGGTTGGATAACCACTGGAAAACCTGAGAGTACTGGACAGCTTTGTCGTCCTACTTTGGAAGTCTTTATCAGTACTCACCTAACTGGGTTCGAACCCAGGACCTTCTGGTTACCAGGAGCTGACACCTGCTCCAATGGCTCATGAACTCTAACCTCTGTCAACTAACGACACAGCACGACCACTTTGCAATAAGTGAGCACTAACGAAGAGTCTCAAACTAGGCTGATTAAACAGCTGTCCAGTACTAACAGGTTTTCCAATCGTTCTCTAATTCATGTCAACTCATAATGATATCCTCCAACCAACCAAAGAAAATCCCTACAAACCAGTACTTGAATATTAGATATATCACACAGTGAGTAAAACAGTATTATTTACTGGATGACAATGTCTCAAACACAATTTATTGTGGTTCATAATCATTTTATCAATTATAATGACACAACTTCTAGACTTTCATTTTATAGTTCCCTTTATTGTCTCCAATTGGTTGTAGGGTGAGTAGAATTTTCCAGATGTCCCGGTTGACAGGTGTTGAATCAATCTTGGTACACATTCTTATACTGGAAATCGATAACAGAAGCTTTATTTATCGAATCAACTGCAAATTGTGTTAGAGAAGTGATACAACACCTGTCCCAGATGCCTGTAAAATAGTTGAGAATAAAGAAAACTATAAAACGAAAGTTTCGAGGTTGTGTGATTATAATTGATACGATTATGAACCACAGTAAACTGTGTTCGAAACTATGTCATCCAGTAAATGATAACACTGTTTCATTGTGTTTGTAATATATCTAATAAACGAATTAATGTGGAATGGTAGCTTCTATTTTGTCCATCCAGCTGATTTATTTATTTAACTGGCATAATGTTTCTAAAAACAAAATTTTAGAAGAATAAAGCTTTATTACTCGAATACTGAAAAATCACTATTAAGCATGATAAGAAGTTGTTTTTTTTAATTCTCAAGAAACTTAGAATATTCTTTTACTACAGGTGACAATATTTCATGAATGCAGACCAGAGTTTTTACATGACATTGTCTTAAAAATGCGACCGCTTGTATTTACACCCGGTGATTTGATCTGTCGTAAAGGAGAAATTGCCCGTGAAATATTTATAATCGCTGATGGTGTACTTGAAGTTATAAGGTGAGTAAAAAAACAGTTAGGGAATAATTCGATAAATAATCAGAAGTTTTTTCCTGAAGAATGTAAACTACAATTAATCAGTTTTGTTATCATTCCCTAATAGACGAATTCAAAGTTCTTTTTATGTCCTGAGGACGCATTTTTGCGTCCCTTTCAGTGGGGCATTTCGAAGAGATAAATTAGGAATCATGAATTTCAGATACCGACCATTCACATAAATGCTGTCTTAAGAGGCTAAGAAAGTCACTAGAATGGCCTTCTGTTTATTGACTTCCTTTCTTGCAATGAAATCTCTTTCATTATTCCCTGTAAAATTATGGAGAATTAAGATAAGGCTGCCTGATATCACTGGTGGTATTCCAGAATGTGATAGACTATATCGTGTGGTAGTCTATGGCACACGTTGGATCAACGAGGAAACTCTAGAAGATCTGAAGTTCATGGACGACCTGTGTAGGGTGTCATGAAAACCCAGAAATCTGCAAGTGGAAATCAATAGATGTTTTTTATTATAGCTTGATTCCACACCGTATTTTTGGTACAAGTATGGAATTTTCAGTGTGCGATATCGGCAGCTTAAATCTGAAGGTGAACAGTTAGTATCAGGTGTGCGTCGTCAAGGGATAGAACCCAAGACCATGTACATGGTCGGCGAGCGTCTTAACCGCTGTGCAACCGACGCACAGAAGGTTAACCGAGAAGACAGGACTTCAGGTGAACACAAAGAGGACAGACAGGATGAAGATAACCTGAACAGTGACAACTGCCATTGATCTTAATCAAAGGGAGACATCGAAAGGAACTCACCTCTTAAACTTAAAAAAAGCTTTATCGTTTCAGCTACGAGTGTCACCCATGATGATGTGTAGGCTTAACAAAATCAGAAAAGCAATGCGAACATTCAATGCTCTGGGATCAGTGTGCAAAATCTGTTGCATTTAGCATGAGCAACACAATAGCGTCCTTCAATTCTTCTGTAAATCATTGTTTTTGTGTGGTCGCTGCGGAATTCTACAACGCCTGGTCTCAGTCGGCATGACGATGTGATGTCATGCCAGCAAGGATAAGAAATAAGGATCTCTGGTAGTGTAGCAAAAAAATCAAGAACCGATCGCCTCAAATAATACACAGAAAGGAATGAAAATGGATTGGACATAGTCAAGAAGACAGTTGGTCTACTCTACACGCAATCAAGCTCTCCAGTGGAAGACAAATGGGAAGTGAAGAGTAGAGCATGTTTCCCAGCGTTACATGGTGGAGGTTATATGAGCAGCACGTTACAACCTAATGGCGATCATAGCGCTAGCTGAAAACAACTGCACATAAGAGGATGAAGCGGAGATGGTTTGTTAAAGCGCCGCGTTCCACTCACAACTCAGAGGAATAATACCGATATAATTATAAAACTAGTAATAAAGCTGTTAATGCTAGATAAGCGATTTAGATAAATGAAAGACAGTCTTATCCAAAACATCAAAAATACTGGCCAGTAGTTGTAAATAAACACGAAGAGAACTGCCAACTTCGCTGTCTGTCTAATGTAAATCACCAGTGGGGAGTAGAATTGTAATAAAATTTCTCTGCACAATAAGGTTTTGTTTTCCCAATGAAACTACTGTCAGGTAAAGAAAAACTGTGTTAACAAACAGAATATAGGATGACTCCCATAAAAGTATGACGTCATATACTACTGATTGATTGATGTGAGTAGTTTGATACCGGTCACCTCAAAAATGACAAACCTCTTTTTGTTAGGCATCAAGAACTTCAACATCTGGCCTCCTAAAACCGCTAACTGATGTGAGTGACGTTCAACTACTCACTCATTTTTGCTTACCTTCCTGAGTGCCATTTGTGATATCAAGTAGACTGCATTAATCGTGATCTTAGTAACTGTAGTGGAATTACACCTCCTCTGACTGTTTAAATTACAAATTGAGAAGGGATTTCCAAACTGCGAATTTTATTCAGGATAATTTTCGACCGAATAATTAACTGTCTCATAAAATGTTAGTTTACTCACCAAAAACTATCTGACTTTATTATTTTCTTCTTTTTTGCTAACTAGTGAAACCAATGAAGTACTATCAAGAATGAGTGCAGGTGATTTTTTCGGTGAAATTGGTGTGCTGAACGTTGATGGTGTAAATAAGTAAGCCTGGAATTTGTTTATTAATTTTAATGCCACTAGTTGAATAAAATTTATTATTGGTTAGTGAAATTCATCATCAGTTGATGCCACTTAGAGAAACATTGAGAAACCTGCAGAGAGTACTGAATAGGTGTTTCGTCCTAGTTTGAGACTCTTCATCAGTGCAAAAGCATTGGGATTCGAAACTCAGGGCCCTCTGGTTACAAGGCAAGTTTGTAGGCCATTAAAACAATTGGATCGGGTCTTAGTGACCTGATGGTCTACGAACTCGTCTTGTAACCGGAAGGTTCTGGGTTCGAGTACAGTCGGTGGGGCATACTGCTTAAGAGTTCAAAGCCAGGAGAAAAAGGCTGTCCAGTACTCTCTGTTGGTTTCCCAGTGGTTCTCTAACCAATAACAGCTCATGATGAAATCTTTGTGTAGTCTATATTCATTAATATGAAAATCGTCTCCAGGACAATAAGCACTGAGTGTGTTTGACACATGAACAAAGAATCCAATCAAACGAAAGCATTCATACAATAAGATCGGATAAGGTAGTGGAAAGAGTAATACTATATAGTTAGCGACATCGATAAGATGAACAGCATTCAGCAGGACACCACAAAATTCCGAAAACTACTAAACTGCAAAGACGATTTTGACAAAATAAATGAGGAATTTTCTAAGATCCTGAAAACTCTGGTATCCAGTCACACAGTATCTTCTCAAATTCTCGAAAGTTGACAGTTCGTAGGAATGAATATATATCTAGAATGTATGGGCCGTCTAAAATTCATATGACCGACCTGCTAATACGACCAATATTAGACTTGTTTAACTTAACATATCACGAGATAGCAAGATGGCTGACAGACATACTTAAATCAAGGCAGCTTACAAAGTTTAGCTTGGGGGACACTTCTCAATTTATACAAAAAAGTGAGAAAAATAAAGATTAACGGTGAAACAATGGTTTCTACGGATGTCACTTCCCTGATTACTAACGTTCCATTATTTAAGACCGCCGACTTTATCTTTGAGTCCCTGATTGAAAATTATATGGGAGTGGGTATAGTACCTTAAACACCACAGGAAATGCTACTCCACTGCACGATAAACATGCAGTTTCAGTTAAACAATGACAAGGATCATCAAGTGGAGGGTGTGGTAATGTACTTCCTTCTTGGTCCTCCCTTAGACATCATTTTTATGGAAAATTTTAGAGAATCGTGCATTTAAAAGTATAATCAAGGAACTCGCCTTCTAATGTATATACATCGCTGATACATATTATCGCACATAAGAATAAAATCAATCATGAGATCTTTCTTAAAATGTTCTATACGACTCACCGAAAAATTAAGTTCATATATGAAGCAGAGAAATACAATACTTTATCATTTCTTGATGTCCTGGTAATAAGAAGCCAAGACAGTAGTAATGTGGTGGTGTGATACACACGATATGTTCCAACGGAATATTGTTCTCATATATTCCCACAGTTCAATACAGCATTAGCAGTAGAATACAATATATCTATTTAAACATTCTGTTTGTTGCTAGAGTCAGAATATTATTCTCACAGTTCGATACTTCGTTAGCAACAGAATACTATGTATGTAAAAGTTAACTGGTGGATGGTGACTAGCAGTGGAATCCACCAGAATGCCCATTTCGTCATATTTGTGACTCGTCATCTGGATGTGCCTACATTCCACAGTGAGGGATGATGTTCCTACGATGCTGGGACCATTTAACTTCTAACTACATGCCTAGACATCCTGGATATCATCTAAGCATCTGCACAAGAAGCCAACATGTCAATAAGAGACCGAGCATTTCGGTCCAATTAATCGACGGAAAATTCTTAAATTAAATTAAAGAATACTAGGTATTATAGGTTTCCAGGCCTTAGGTGTTACGAACTTCCTGAAATAATTTGAACGCCGAGTCAGATTGATTCATTATAAATTATTTAAATTAATTTAAATTAATCCCAGCGCTGGGATTAATTTAAATAATTTATAATGAATACTAGGTATATTTGAACATTCTATTTCATGTTATTTAATGTAAGCCAAAATCACATGCTCAATGATTGGTTAGAGAATACAAAACTGTATTTATACAAATAGAGGTTTATTCACCTAAAAATGTACCTTGGCTTCCGTGTTTTGCCTTCTACTCTTACAGTACTATGCAGGGTGCTGTAGTTACATATTGTTATCTTTATTAAATAATATATTGTGTAATCACTACGAGACAGAAGTTATTTTCCCCTGTACCTCTACAAGTATACACATTCTACTTACACATTGACGACGATTGACTACCTCCATTATATGAATCCATGCATGAATTTATCCTTGTTATTATTATGACCACCTGGATGGTTAACCAATAATTCACATGCCTGTTAACCACATTGGTTTCAGAAGTCAACAATTCATATTTTATTGTGTAATCGTAATGCCTTTGAAGAGATTATCGAAAATATTCACTTAAATTGTGTTCTGTAAGTATTAGAACGGAATCCTTCAGCATCGTAAAGGCAGCGTCAAAGTGTAAAATATTTTTCTTAAAATTCCTTGCAGTTATAGTATTGCAACGACAGAAGACAAGAGCCAGCCAACAAATCGTTTATTGAGAAAATCAGCAGAAATTTATAGATTTTAAAGTACATTATTATTCGTTATTATCAGTAGAGAAGCAACGTCTTCTGATCGGTTGTTTTCTTACCGAAGGTTATTCTGTACTGCCTGTGACCGTTTCCTAGAAAGTTAAGCCATATGTCTGCGAATCGTATTTGCACATGTTTAGTCTCTCCACAGTGTTACTTATACTTCAACATTAGTTTCACACTTTTCAACAGTCAGCTATTTGGGTAAATAGAGTTTATGGTTCGGAACTTCTTCACTAGTGAAATGTCACCCATTAGACCAGAGACAGATAGTTTTCTAAACGCTTACCTCATTGATCATAATACTTTGAAAAAATGACCAATGAGGACCTCCTGAAATAACTGCTTTGTGTAGAGTGAAATGTCCCAAAAATTCCCGTTTTATTTTCCCTAAACAAACTGGGATTATTTTCAATATTCTTTTATGACGACACGGTCAATCTTGAGTCATGAATTGTTCTTAGAATACCTATGAAATCTATGGTAAGAGCATTAATAGGATGCTGTTCCTATATTTATGAGGTTAGCTTGAAACAGTAAACTTCCGTATGGAACTGATAACTTGTATAAATAAATACCAATAATATTTTTGGGAGAAAATAGCTTCAAATGAAAATTAAACTTTCATATTTGTGGCATGAAATTTAATCTTTTTTGTCTCGTATCTTTCTTTCTTATGCTATCTAGGAGAACTGCTGATGTACGTGCTGTTGGATATGCGGAGTTATTCGTTTTGTCTAGAGAAGATATACTGAAGGCCTTAAAAGATCATCCAGAAGCTGAGGTACGATTGCATAATTTTTGATTTAATATTCGTCTTCTTTATTTTTCTTATTCCTTTACGCTCCAAGTGTAACACAGGGCTTTAAGCAAGAGGCTTGAAGTTTCTGTAGCAGTGTTTATTTTACAGGATGGGGTTGCTAGCCTCATGCCCAACCTTCCCTCTTTACCAGTCTTATTACTGGCTTAGCGAGGTAAAGGAGTGCGTCGGCCGGGGATCGAACCCCGGACCACATGCGTGGTTGGCAAGCACTCTACCGCTGTGCCACCGATACTAATTGTTACTCGTCTGCCCAAAGGCCTTCACTTTCACTTCACATTACCTCCTTTCATCAGAAACACATCCAACTTGTCGTTTCCCAATCGGGCTCCATTCAAGGACTTGTCAGGTGCGTGATGTGACCCAACGGCCGTCTCAGCTTATGTCAAATCAATTACTATTTCCTTCAGCGTGTCAGAAGTGCGACAGTTTCTTGGTTTGTTAGTTTGCGGCCAGAGTTCCTTGTTGCTTGCCCATCCTGAACGGTCACCTGGTATTCAATACTGAGAGAAGACAGACGTATACATCGTTTAAGAAGCACTTTTAATGACTTTCGCGAGAATTATCCAAACTATTTAGAAGCAGTAAACTGACACTAGTGCTAAAAATCGGGATCTTGCTCCTAGTGACATTTACTTGCTTTCCAGATTCTTGCTATGTCTGTCTGCATATTAGGCGATGTTACTGAAGTAGGTAAATAAAACGACTCCTTTAATTTTCTCTCAGTCACGGTAATTAACGCTTCTTGTTGTTTTTGGGCATATTGGTTACTTTTATCTTGTCTATATTCACCTGATTTTCAATCTTCGCACCTCTGATGCCATTTCAGTGGATTTCGCTTGTAAATCCTCAAGTACGTGGGATGCAAGACGTAAATCATCAGATAAATGCATGTCTTCTAGGTTTTCTCCATGAGTCTAATGTTTGACTGTTTTCATACTCTCCACCCAATACAGTCTCAATGTCGTGATCTTCAGTTTTCACAGATACTCCGAGAAACTATATATATAGGTGATGACTGGTTCTAATATGGTGAGACTGTTTTCGTGCCACCAGTGTCAGCAGTGATGCAGTTATTGTCTACGGGATAAGGTTACTGTATTCAGTCCTGGTCTTCCATTTTTTGAGTGTTTGTTACTCGATTGGTGAGGTTTCAGAGTGCTTCGACCGAATATCAGATCCTGGACCCCATGGTTAATTGGTGAGCACTCTACTAAAGAACCTGTGACACACAGACGCAAACAACATCAGTGAATGTTGAATAAACAGATTTCGAAGCATTCCGTGGATACTTTGAGATGTGAATATAGAAGGACATTGCGTTTATTTTAGGCATCGATCTGAAGATACTAAATTCTATTTCGCAATACGCTCCATCGGCAATATAATATTATGTTGCGTTTACAAGCGAATTACTATTTCAGTGCACTACCATCTCAAGTATGTAACTAGAGGCCACCGAATCGAATCCTAGATTTGTTATTCCATTTAACTCTGTTTGCCCTAGTTGTAGCGTTCAGGTTTCTCGCCTGTAAATGCAGTCATATATGAGCACAAGTGTAGAATTCGGGTACTGTGGTAAAACGTACAGTTTACATAATAAACAGCACCGCTGTGTTGATGACTTCATGGCGTACCCAGTACTATTTATATTGCTACTCATAATCAAATTGATACGTGTTCACACGGCTCTATAATTTGCTTTTTATTTTTTTTCTCTTCGCCTTGTTATTTGTTGTAATTTTTCACATGTCCTTTAAAGGCGTTGCATCATTTCTGTTTCACGTGTTCGATGTTAAGTAGATGAACACGTATTAGGTGATAAATCTCTTGCTCCGCCTAACACTACTGCAATGTAATAACTCCACTTTTTCCACCCTGTCATATGATTAAAAACAGGTGGATGCATTGCAATGATTTAGTTTTCTAGATTATTTAACTTAGAAGGATTAATTATGTTATCTATGCTCTGAAAATTTAAATAACTATCATCTACTGGTTCGACCTACATAAGTGACTGTGTTACTGTTTCATGCAAGATTATATTGTTATTATTATTCCCTTGTGTTTCAAGTGGAACATAGGGCTTCAACGAAACATCTCTGCTGTATTCTATTTTCTGCCGTTCTCTTAAGTTGTGTCCATGATTGCCCATAATCTCCCATCTCCTCATCATCATCATCAAACGATCTCCCCCATGTCACCCTCTCATCGATAACCCAATGATCGCCTCCCGTTGGGATTCCGCTGGAGCGATGGCCTGGCTTACGATGTCATTATACCATCTCCTCAGTGTATGCCCAGTCCATCTCCATTTTCTCCAACATATTTGTTGAGCAATCGGCTCTTGGTTTGTTTGTTACCAGAGTTTCATCCTTCTGATTGTTTCTGGCCTACCATTTGATCTTTAGTATGGAGCTGTCGAAGGTAGCGGTTGATAAAATTTTGCAGGAAATTCTTGTAGTGAAACGCAGTGCAAGTTTCTCACCCGTATAGAAGGACTCACTTGACACTTGACCGGCTCACTTACTTGGGAAGTACCATCTCTGACGAAATCTCAGCACGAATACAGAGGGCTAGTTTCGCATATGCCAGTTTACGCCTTCGCTGGCGTAGACGTGATATCCGACTATTGACCAAAGGGCATGCGTACTGCTCAGCAGTCCGCTTCGTCCTCCTTTTTGGCTGTGAGACCTGGCCATTGAGAGCGGAGGACATGAAAAGATTAGCTGTCTTTGATCATAGGTGTCTGCGTTCTGTTTCCCGTGTGAAGTAGTATAATAAGGTGAGCAATATTGAGGTTAGGCGTCGAGTGCTAGGTAAGGCGGGGGAATCAGTTGACGAGACTGTGAAATTACATCCACTGAGATGGTTAGGACATGTGCTACGTATTCCTAGTAATCGCCTTCATCGTCGGGCAATGTTAGCTGATGTAGGGCCAGGCTGGAAAAGAGCTAGCGGCGGTCAAACGAAAACATGGCACCAGTCAATGAAATCTACAACAGTTAGTCTAAGCCACGTAGGAAGATGTAGACTTCCTGGTTGGCGTCCTCTGGACGTTAAAAACCAATGGTTGGAAACAATTGGTGACATGGCTCAAAATCGTTCTCAATGGCTGGCGCAGATGCATCCACTCCTTGAGACTTATGATTTCCAATGAGACTGTTTTGTTCTTCGTTATTACTATTCCTTTGTCTCACATCTCAACTTACTATCTTTATTATGCATTTCTTCTACTTTCTTCTCTTGCTTTGTGTGCTACATGGAGTGTGGCGACTAGAACTGCCGCACATATGTGCAAAGTTCTATGTTGAAAACAGAAAGAAGAAGAAAGAAAGACTCACTTGACATTGGTGTTGAAAATCCGAATCTTGTTCTTTATGATGAACGATGTTGTTTGGGGCTTTTCAGCGGTACACGTTGTAGCTAAACGGCCGACTGAGTTTTGGTAAATTCATAAGAATGAGTTGCGAAGTCACTGACACTATGTCATTTATTACACCATCTCAGGTTTTTAAGCCATCAAGTTCGCAAACGTCCGAAGTTCTGTTTTGAGCGCTAGCTAGTATTATTCTAACGACACTATGGTCACATTCTTTAGCCCACTAATATCTATGCACCGTACCGTATTAACCAGTTAAAGTTCCGAAGAGATGACTTCCGAAACCCTATTGATAATCTGTGATGCCAATAGCCATATCTTGGGCTCTTTATCAAGTGTAGGAATTTGGCGACGAAGTAGGCTTGTCAGCCTCAGTAACAAAATCCGCTGGTCTCCATCTACTGCCATATTGGCGACTGACTTTCACCACAGTAATAATGACCCCCTGATCTGCGTTCAACCTGCAAGCTGAAAATCATAGTAATGACCGATTCAAATCCTATGCGCTCACCGACTAGGCCGCGGCCTTGGCATCCTGCAGGAAGCTCCGCATGTCGCCTTCTTTGAAAGTCGCAGGCCACAGGATATGGCAGCAGCATGGTGACACTAAGACATCTGAACTTTCCGGACCACTTATGTCTAATATCACACAAACCAGATGGCTTTACTTAAGTTTTTAATAAATTCTAGGGGTTAGTTATTTAGTAGTGGCGTCACGCTTATTCTTTTAAACAAATTCTGCTGTTATAATTAATCATGGATTCTGCTCGTATATGACTCATGTTTTTTTTTACTTCGGCTATCTCCTACGGGAGGATGAGCCGGCTTCATGAACATCTCGAATCATCGCTGCCCAGGAGCGGCGATCTGACGCAACGTTTTGCGACAGGGTTATCCAATTAAGAGAGTTCATGAAGTTTCATGGGAATTTAATACGAGTGATGTCCCCGGAATCGGTCGGCCTTTTGTTTGAGAGTGCAGCTCTAGCCTTTACACAACCAAGTGTGACCTACAAGGCAGTAGGAGTGGAGTACGGAGTCCACTATCCATTGGCAGCCGGTGACCGGAGTTCGGTTCATACGCCTTTTTGAATGGGGCCAAACATCCAGGACATCCAACAAGCCCTTTGTCCATACGTCTTCCGGTGAGCTCCAGTGAGCTTCATAGACCAGTCGTTGGAGGTTTGGAATCAAGGTTTAGCCATCTCCCCTAGACTGTCATCCAATGAACAGTCAACCCGGTGAAGAGCGCCGGGCATCCGCTTTCGCCCTCTCACTTTGGTGAAAAACACCTCCGCCACGTGAAGGCAGTGAGTAGGACTTCCTCAGGAGAGGCTATGCAAGACGCCTGGTCATATGGGAGCATTTCGAGAGGTGTGCGGAAGGGTGGCCAACCCGCAGCGCAAGGCACCCACCCCCGACCATCCTGAGGCTTTGGAGGCTATGATTCATGTCTAATTGCACAAACATGTGAAGGTCTACCGAAGAAATCAACAGGTTGACAGAAGGGGACGGCAGCGAAGACAAAGCTTCAGTTGAATATACAGATGACAGAGGTGAAGAAGTTACCTAACCAACAGCAA